TATATTTTAGAAAAATTTTATTATCATTTTTTCTAAAAATAATTCCACAGTTCAAATGAAAATAAAAAAGAACAATTTAAAAAATCAACAGGTCCCATTGCAATGGTTGCTTTTTATCAAAACAAAATTTACACAGACTTGCAAATTTGTTGGCAGATACGATTTTTTTTCTTGCCAAAGCCTGATGGCATCACTTACACCTCTATTGCAAGATCAAGTCCGGTGGACAGGGGCGGGTGTGCAGCTTTGTGTGCGTGTTCTCTCTTTCGTGTGGAGAAAGCTAGGTTGCGTGTGAGTAGAGGGGGGGAGAGAGAGTTATTTCATGCGTTCACATTTGATGTTCATCACCGTGATGAGCATCGAGCACTCATCATTACGTGGCTAAATTAAAAGTTTTGATTTCATTTTAAAATGATCTTAACTGTTCATTTTAAATTAATTTTTAAATATTTTAAATATTATATTTATGAATATAAAAATTATAAAAAATTCTAATATTAAATTAGGACTGTCTATAATATATTTATATAATATGTAAAAATAATAAAAAAATTAATATTAAATCAAATCATCCAGATTATAGTTGAACTCTCCAAAATACATCTGGATAATTAAATTATAAAAATTATAATATTAAATTAGATCTTTTAGATTAAATCTATACTGGCCAGATTGGTAATAAAAAAAGTAATTAAAATTTTTTATATTTTTTATTTTGATAAATGTAATTAAAAATAAAAATTTAAATTTGAATGATTCATATCTCATCAACTATTATGAATATGATGGTTCTTATTCTTGAATGAGTACGGAAGGCAATCCAAATTTAATATCAAGATTTTTTCTAATTTTTATATTCATAAATATAATATTTAAAATATTTAAAAATTAATTTAAAATGAACAATTGAGATCATTTCAGGATAAAATCAAAAGTCTTGATTTAGCCACATAATGATTAGCGCTCGATGCTCACTAAGACGATGAGCATCAAACGCGAACGCGTTATTTCATGGGTTCATCTTCACTATCATGTCTGTCATTATAATTGAATGGTTAGATTTAAAATATTATTTTATATTTATTAAAATAAAAATTTATAAAATAATTTTAATATTTTTTATTTTTAACATGGTATAGATTTAATTTAAGAATCCAATTTAATATTAAAATTTTTATAATTATTATATATTGACTATCAATACATCCTCTGTATAGTTCAAAATTTAGATTTTACTATGAGTTTTTATGATTATAGAATTATAAAAATTTAAACTTTAATCATTCAAATTTAATCTACATCTAATTTAGACAATTCAAATTTTATTTTAAGTCAATGGAGGAAAGTGGGGAGAAAAGTTGGGGAGAGAGGCAAGTCCATTATTGTTGCCTTGCTTGTCCCCTTTTCCGTAATGTGATAAATGAAAAAAGTTAATTTTTTTTTAAAAAAAATGGGCCACCTCTTGATTGAAATGAGCTGGCTCATTTAGTCCCACATTAAAAAATAAATTATTTTTCATAACCCATCATCAAAATAAATAATTCTATTTCAATTCATATTTTCAGTTTTATTTGTAATTTAAGATATTCAATTGTGAATTTAAAAAATGTCATTTGTTAATATATGAAATGTTAGTTATGAATTGATATAAATAGTTTTAATTGTAAATAATGATTTAAGGATCCTTACATATAACTGTCAATTAAGGCAAAATTTGTCAGGCCATCCCTTTCAAACTCAAAAAAAAAAAACCAACCCTTTTAATATTTTTTAAAATTTTAATATAAAAATAAAAGATTAAATATCTAACTAAAATAAATGAATATCTTAGACCCACTCGTCCATCTCTCATTTATTAATTAAGATTTAGCTGATAATGTTAGTCAAGTCTAATTTTTATTGGTATTAATCTTGATGTTTTTATTCATTATTAGATTTAAATGTTCAAGTTTTTTATATTTGTTGTGGGATGAATTGACTTAAATTTATTTTTCTAAACTTAATTTTATATATAATACTTTTTTTTAGAATTATAAATATATATTTTTAGATTTTTAAACTAAGAAAGAGCAAAAAAAAAAAAAAAGAAACTAAAGCCTTGAGGGCCAAAGTTAAGTCTTGCAAAAAAAAGCCATGAGATATAACCGTACTTATCAAGGTTAGTTATTTAGGCCTTAGGCTTTAAAGCAGAATTAGTTTTAAGTGGCAGTTTTATCCACACGTGTTTACAAATATTTATTCACAGCTAAATTTTCATAAATTCATGATTAATATTAAATTTTTTTATAATTAAATTTTTTAAATTTATAAGTGACGATGTATATATTAGTGAAACTATCAATCTATTCAAAATAACCTTTCATACATTCAAAAGTAATATTCTTTAAATTTACACTTAATTAAGGAAGACCATAGTCCTTCTGTAATATTTTAATATTATAGAATAACCTTTTAATAGTTATTTCAATAATTAAAATTATTTTAATTGTAAATGAAGACCGTGATCTTTCTATAATATTTTAATTTAATATTTTGAAGTTAGTAATTATCACTAATATTGATCTCTAATTATCATTTCCATTCTGTTCTATCAGTTAGAACTTGGAGAGAAAGGCTCACCCTTTTAAAATAAATTTCATTTTGCTCGATGAGAAAAAGACTCGTTAATGAATATGGAGAAAACTCATTTGTGAAAAATCTCATTGGTGAAAAAATGCAAATTAATTAATCAAGTCATCCTAGGGAACACTTGAACTTAGGTTGACAGCAATAAAAAAAAAAAAAAAAAGCGAGTCTTCAACAGCGTCAGCAAAGGAATCGTGGGAATGTCAGCGAGTTATTGCCTTGTCATATAACTCATAACACTCATTATCCAAAATTCCAAATATCCGATCACGTATATATTCTGGATTTTCTTTTAAAGGAATCCCACTGTGGTTCGTCAGGAGAAGGCAAAAGGAAAGCTCGAAAAGGCTGGATCTGGCAAAACCGACCACATGCCAAACAGCGGGAATCATTTTCTGGGTTCGGTTGCTTTCTGTTGTTAGGGTTAGAAGAGGAAAAGAAGACACACTTGAAGGAAAATTACCTTGTCAGGTCTACAGTCGTTCTGTGATCTTCAAAGCCACATATTTGATTTCAAGCATATTTAAAAGAAAAATCATTTCCACTGTATTTCGTAAATTGTAAAATATTTTTTAAAATGGATTCAAATTTTTTGCGAAGGTGATTCTTTTTTAAACTCCAGTTCCCATTCTAAATTTAATGGGTCCAGGAGTATTTAAATTTGAATATTGATTTTAGAAATTCAGTAAACATTTTTTGGCCAAAAATTTAAGTGAACATGTCGGTACCTGGTGGAATCAAGTCATGCGCTGATATTCACACAGTGATTTCCTCAGAATTTGAGGTTTATTGGTGGACACGACCTTGTTTCTGATCTTCATTGTCCAATTGACAGTAATGGCTATCTCAACGCTGAAACTCAGACTGTCCGGTGCGAGCCTGTTCAGACTTCCATCTGTTATAGTCCTATGGGAATAACTTACGATATTGCAGTAGTTTGTAGCAAATCACTAATCCTTTCTCTGTATTCTGATCCCTTGGTTAAGTTTTAAATGTCAGTGTCTCTACAACTCGAAATCTTTTCCTTGTTTATTTTCTATGACTGTTTGATTGTCAAGTTTAATTGAAGGAAAATCTCATAAAATATTTTCTACATTCACAGAACTGAATCGATTACGTCACTTTTCGATTTTGGTTTAAATTGTTTGAATTTACATTGATTGATCATATCAATATTGATGAACATATACATACATAAATGCATATATATATATATATATATTCTACGTGATAATGTGCTATTCTTAATTCTCGAGCACGCACCTTATACCTTTTGTATATATATTCGAATTTGAATTAATGTCAGGTTATCAAAGCTGCGCCTATTTGCGGGAGGTAATAAATTTTCGTTCTGTTTTGCATTTCATGGGAATAGATCCTTTTAAATTGAGAATCCGTAAGTTTCATGAAATTTATTTTTAATATAAAATTAAAACGAACTTCTGGATTAATTTCACGTCAATCCCTATCGTCTCATTGTTCAGCCCTCCACCAGTCCCTACCGTCCGCGATGGGCCATGCTCCTTCAAGCATTGTTAGATGTGGAAGCCGTGGAGATACAGGATTTATGCGAGAGAGGATTTAAACAATTTTTTACAAGTTTATTTTACAATTCAAATTAATGTGCACAATTTAAATCAAATATACATTTTTTTACACACATAAAAATTTAGGCTTTCATCACCTACATAAATAACGGAGGAAATATATTTTTTGTTAATGTCTGAATGTTCTGATTGAAACATGCGAATTTATACACACACATGTACTTTTTCCGTTTATTTTAATTGAATCTTATCTTTTAATAAAAATCACCTATCTTTTAATTAATTTTATTTTTTTATATTTATCTCTATTAAATACCTTATAATAAATATAATATCATTATTAATAAGAACCTTAAAAAAAAAGTAAAAATTACACTTTAACAAATAAAAAATATCTTACGTTATTAAACATTCAACACCCAAAAAATAATAATAATAATAATAAAAAAGATAGTGAGAATGAAAAGAGAGAAAGAGGAGAGAGGTTGGTTACTTCATGGCGCCTTCCCTTTTCCCACCAGTATTCCACTGATTACCGTTTCCTTACTCCCCACGGAAGTGAGAAGGCTGGGTCATGCTTTGCACGACACGCGGCACTAAATAATTGGCTGAACAGCTCACTCACCCTATGGCCTGTCGCCTGACCGACCTTCCTATTCTGCCCCTGCAGCCTCCGGGCCGGCACGGCACATCAGCAATAGAGTTCCAAGTGGGACTGGCAATGTCGTTATTTTGGGAGATGAAGGAGGTCCAAATCGGAATATTGTACGCTGTTCCCACGAGCGATATAATAAACGCGGTTTCCCTCATGCGTCAGATTGTATGGGATACTAGACTATACCTACCAGTACCACTCTCTCTCTCTCTCTCTCTGTCCTACTCCGGTTTTCTTTGTCAGCAAGCTCCTCCCTGGCGCCTGTCCCGTAAAAAGAAGGAAAGAGGCCACTGCGCCATAAAATCTCCCGTATCTCTTCGATTCTCAAATCTGGTTTCTGTGGATTTCTTTTTAATTATTAATTGAGAGCTTCTCCAAACACTCCATTCTTCCTTTATCTATTCGTTGAAACTCCAAACTCTGTCTTGATACTCTATGGGTGCGGCCGTCGAGTGTTGTCCGCCGCGCGTTGATGAGGTGGCGGTTTTGCCTCTGAATTCGCTTCCTCTAGGTTTCAGGTTTCGGCCGACGGATGAGGAGCTGATCGATTACTATTTGCGACAGAAGATCAACGGAAATGGGGGTGACGTATGGGTTATTCGAGAAATTGATGTTTGCAAATGGGAGCCTTGGGATTTGCCTGGTGAGTTTCTTTCTCTGCGATCCGATTCTACTTCTTTCTATGCTTGGTAGTATTTTGCTCACTCCTATTTTTGTTGATTTGGGGTTGTCATGAGAATTGGGAAAGTTCTGTACCCTCTGTTTTACCAATTTTTCTAAGATATGTTTTTTTTAGCTGTTGAGCCGAGCATGCTGACAGGTTTTTCGATTCTTAAATCATGTCGGTTGATTGATTTGTTTATGCTTGGTTAAATTACTGTGAAACTGATCTATCTGTAAGAATTACCTAACAAATTAGCGAGATCTGTTAACGGTGGCTAGATTCTTCGATTTACTCCTGTCTACCCTCTTGGTTTGTTCTAGATTTATCGGTTATACGGAACAAGGATCCAGAGTGGTTCTTCTTCTGTCCGCAGGATCGCAAGTATCCGAATGGGCATCGATTGAACCGGGCAACGACTCATGGGTACTGGAAGGCAACGGGCAAAGATCGCAAAATTAAGTCTGGGTCGACCGTGATTGGAATGAAGAAGACTTTAGTGTTCTATACGGGTCGCGCACCCAGAGGGAAGAGGACCAACTGGGTTATGCATGAGTACCGTCCTACCCTAAAGGAGCTCGATGGTACCAATCCTGGACAGGTTGGGTCTCCTCTCCCATTGATGTTATATAATATTTTTGTCGTGATGCATTTGTGGCATTGAAGTGCTGGAACTTGTTAATATTTTCCCCTTTTGATGATTTAAGTTCATCCCTCTTTCTGATTGGTTTGTGAAATACTATCTCAATTGCATGAGTCACGTATGATTCAGTTTAGTCAGTGATTAAGCTATTATAGTACCCTGTATGTTTATTTCGCTGGGGTTTCGTTTCCTTTTGGATATTCTTTTTCCAAGGTCATATATTTTGAAGCTCTTGTAAGCTGATTTCAAAGCAATCTCTGTGAACATTGTATTTAGCTGGGGTTTCGTTTCCTTTTGGATATTCTTTTTCCAAGGTCATATGTTTTGAAGCTCTTGTAGGCTGAGTTCAAATCAATCTCTGTGAACATTGCATCTGCTGCGTCCTGGAAATAGTTCTTCTCATAGTTATTTGGATTCTGATTGTTTTTGGTGATTTTTGTGTTAAATATTTCTGGGATCATTACTAAGGAAAGGATGTCTATATTGTACCCTTTATTTTCTGTCAATAATTGCCCTTTACATAAATTTTATGCGTTAATGCTTATAGGTTGAAATATTTAATCACCGTCATCCTATGACTGTTTTTAATAACTTCGAATCTATATGAAGAGAGATTGTGATGTATTGCTGAACTTTTTATTTGGTCAATGTGAATTGTACCAGAGTGCATATGTCCTTTGTCGTTTATTTAAGAAGCAAGATGAGACTCTTGAAAGTTCAAACTGTGAGGAAAATGACCGGACTGTGTCTACTCCAGCCACTGCTAATTACTCTCCAGAAGAAATGCAATCAGATGTGGTTCCAATGGCAGCTTCTCCATCACTGGCTACTGAAGATGACAAGAACAGGGCAGTTCCATTCTCTGTCTCTGAGAATTCTGAGGAGGCCACATCCAACATTATAACACCAATTGATTGCAACGGTGAAGAATGTGATACTTGTGATGTGCAGAATAAGATTGTTATTCCAACAACTGCAGAGGTGAGACGGGTTGAGGTTCATTCTGCTATTTATTCCATTCTTTTATAATAATGGTTTTTGTTTCCTCTGTTTTGACTATTGGAAAATAAATTTGTTGATTTTTCTCCTATACTTGACGCTTGCCATTTCAGGAAGATCAGCTTCTGAACTTTGACATGTTTTATGACCCAACAACTGAACCATGGGATGACAAACTCTTCTCTCCTGCACACCAGCATATCCCACCAGAATTTTGTTTTCCTTTAAGCAATGAAGTGGATAATTGTGGCTTGCAACTTCAGCATGATACAAATGAGGTAAATATGGCTGAATTTTTAAACTCAGTCATCAACTGGGATGAGTTATCCTATGATTCCAGCAGTCAAAAGCCCACTTCCACGTTGGTTGATGCTAAGGATAATGGATCAGGCAGTGATTCAGATGTGGAAATGCCAAATATACTGGTTAGTGGCATTTTTTCTTTTTGGGTGAACTAGTTAGTAACATCTGTAATGCTGAATACTCCCTTCGTCTCAAATTATAAGATACTTTTAGACAAAATTTCATATGTCAATAAAGTTTATTAAATACACTTTACAATATTACTTCTTCAAGATAAAAATATACACTTTCAAAAATGCCTTTCATTTAATACTCTATTGATGAAAGAATATTAAAGAAAGAGAAAATATGGGAAGGGTAATATTGATAAAGTATTATTAATGAAATCTTATTTTTATCAAAGTGTCTTATATTTTAGGATACTGAGTCTTCTTTAGAAGTGTCTTATAATTTGAAATAGAGGGAGTACTTTTTATTTGGTTATTCAAGGTCTTGTTGCAAAGTTGTTACTATTTTTAATTTTGCAACCTCAAGTGGTTGCTCTTGGACTTTTTTCTTTGTGATATTCCACGCTATCTATCCATAAAATTGAGACTTGTCATGTTGCAACTTGTATTATCTATGCCAGTGTACCTGGCACGGTGTACTTGTGTCTCCTGTGTGATCTTACCGTCTAGTTCTGTGCTGCAGAGTCTGCAAGCATTGCATGCCGTGAATCCTGGGGCAATTGACAAAAGGACTCCTTCAAAGTTGGAGAAAATTTCGCACTTTAACTGCACCATCAGCTCTGAGCCTAGTGGTGATGAGGAGAAGAGCCATACTGGATCGTTACGAAATAATTATCTGATGGCTTCCTCACCTGATTCTGGCATGGGCCAAGTATACAACGTAGACAATGAATCCAGGAATTATAATCCTGTTGTTAATGGTGATATTGGAACTGGAATCAGGATAAGGCCTCGCCAAGTACGGAATGACCTGCCAAACACAAACCCCGCAAGCCAAGGTACTGCACCCAGGAGAATACGTCTGCAACGTAAACTTCAATTGCACCCTCTTAGCTCCAATGAGGTGGTCAAAGGTGGGAGCTGTGTACCAGAGGACCATGGTTCAAAACCAATTGTTGTGGGGGTAAGATATCTGTCTATTATAACTTGCGTATTTCGGTTGAGATTGTATCTGCCTGTTTTTGTGAGAACTGTGAGTTCATCTCGTGCAGGGGATGAAAGCTTCAGAAAATCACGCTGCTGATGCGGATGCTATGGTTGCCAAAGTTGTAAACGAACCCCAGAAGAACTCTCCCGAGTTAACTGATATTACGGAGATTGCTCAGCAACATGCTACAAAAGCGGCGTCCATTAAACTCGAGATTTGGTCATCTGTTGTATTTTTTGTCACTGTACTGGTTTTATTGGTCTTCCTAGCTTTCGTGTGGGGGGCATTGTAGTAGATGAACTTCTAGAAGATCGTTCATTTGTATGTAATTAAGCCCTCAGTGCTTTTTTTGTTTTATTTTTATTTTGGAGGGTAGGGATACTTAGGAGCATATAGGGTTTTGTGCATATGTGGTCGTCGGGAGATGAGATACTCACCCAGTCTGTTGTTGTATGTTAGGTTCTCACTCTCACATCTCACTGTGTAAGGATTTTGTTCAAGTCAGGTCGAGATGCCTGATGAAGCTCGTGCTGTCACTGCAGTCTGCATGCGATGCTCTTCTTTCTTCTGGCGATTCCGTCTTTTAGTTTTGTCCGAGCGTCTATCTCACCTACTCGTCAAAATAAATAAATAAAGCCATAAAGGTTGGCCCGAGAAGAAAGTTGGGAAAATCACATTTAAGCCGCATCTAATCAAGTTATTCTCAAATAAGTCTCTTGAATTTGTTTAATTGTTGAGATGTCCCTGGAAGCCGGGTGTTTTTTTTAACGCACGTGAAAAGACAGATGAAAAAGGATGGGAAAAAAAAAATCATCTCAAATCTTATTGCAGAAGCTTTCTTCACAATATGTCACAACTCAACTCCCGTCCTTCCGCGGCTGCGCCTGGGTAATCAATATCTAGTATTTGAAATTTATGTTTTAATTTTTTAGATGTTAAAAGTCATTTAGGTGATTTTTAAGTGAGTAAAATAGTTTTTTAAATGTTGGTTAAGATAGGGTTTAAATGTAAATTTGTAAATTTTTTTTTGGTGGTTTTAAATTTCAAGTAAGAGTTGGAAGCAATAATGAAGGAAATAATTTTGTATCTATTTTTATAAATGATGATATCGTCATAAATAATTTTATACTTATTTTTATTAATGATCATGATACTTATGTTTTTTATTGTTATTATTTAACATATTAAATTTTATGTTATTTTAATTTTTTTCACACATTTTTAAACATTTTTAATATATTATACTTGCATAATAAAAATTATAAATTATTATAAATTAATGTCCTTTTCTATCATTGCATATTTAAAAATACATTTTAAAAATATAAATTTGCATTAATTCAAACTTTCAATTTATCAAATTAGTTTTTAAAAAAATATATTTAAACATAAATTTTGTTATAATAATTAATTTTTATTAAACTAATTTTTATTAAATAAATTTTTAACAAAATAAATTTTTAGCAAATTAAAAATGAAACACACTATTTCTTGCCAGCCCCATTATCTTCTCATGCTTCTCACTCCTCCTCCACTCTCTCACGTCTCTCCTTTCTTCCTCTCTCTCCAAAACCACAATGAGCATGAAGCCCTCTTCCAAACCCATTTCCAATCCTGCTCAGACCAACAAGTTCCCCCCTTTGTTGATGTACTTCTTCAGGTCCAACATCACCTGTCAAAGTCAAGATAGGTCAAGTTCAAGCCCCATGCTCCCGAGGAAGAAGACATCTGCCATTGATTCCCAAGAACTTTCTCACCCAGGGTCATCCGCATGCGGGCCAAGACTGAGTTCCATGCTCCTCCAAACATCACCATGCTAAGCCGGTTGGGGTTCAACAACGGCTCGTTGTTGACAACGGACAGGATCACGAATTGTGGGAAGCCAAGTAAATTTTTGTAATTGCAAAAAAAAAAATAAAATTACTTGTAGTCAAGGAACTTGGAGATAGGTAACAATTTGTGCATTTCCTAAGACTTTAGAATAATTAAAATTATTATGGGAAATTTGACAATATTTTTTCAAAAGTTGAGTTGTCACTTGATAATTTCTCTTTCAGTTCATACCATAAAGCACTTTTAACTATTTCACTATAATTAAAAAATGAAAAGAAATAATAATTAACTCATTATATGTATTAAAGTGAAAAGATTTTTCAACTTTGTCTGTATTCAAAATAAAAGGCAAGATATGTCCAATATATTGATTATAAAATTAAATTTACTGTAGAGATAAAATTGGAAAATGATATTGTATAAAAAAAATGGAAAGTGGTACTCTCTTTGTTCCAGTATGGAAGACAACTCTAGAAAAATTTTATTATCTCAAGATATAAAAAAATTTAAAAAAAATAAAATTTTATTAATAATTTTTTTAATATTATCCTTTGAATGAGAAAGAATTGAAATGATATTGTAACTTAATAATTAAGTATATAAAAATATTTTTAAAAATTTATGATTTTGTTTTAAAAAAATAAGTTTATAAGATATTATTATTATATTTCATTCTCAAATTGTGTTATCATTTGGGATGTAGGGAATAACAAGATTAAATGATCTTTTCAAAAGCAACAGGGACAGGAAGGAGTAGTAACTTGCTGACTCATGACAATACAGCCGATAGTGATGTGGTTAATCATATATATGGCGATGTTACTGTGCCTGAAGCGAGTACTGAAATTCCTCGATCCTGACTTCCATGCAGCTTGCTTTCTTATGTTCCACGGAACCGTGGGTCAACCACTCAGTCTAGATTTCTAACTTTTAAGTACTTTTTTGGATAATGTTAATAAATAATTTTAGAGGTTTTTTTGGCCAGATAAGTAATTTTAGAGGTTGAAATTTTTAAATAAATTTTTTTAAAATTATTCAAACACTTCTATACATGCTAACATAAATTATAAATTTAAAATCATCATTATTTTATAAAATATTATTATCGGTTTTTCAATTCAGCTTTTAATTATAATTTTTATTATTATATTATACTCTTATTGAAATAAAAATATTAAAATATTAAGAATTTAATCATTTTGGATTTTTTTTTTTACCTGAATCAAATTGGATTCAAGCTTTTCATATGAAACAATCAAAATGCATTCAATGCCCATTTCTTCTGCCTGCAAGTTGTAACCGTAAAGAAGTGCAACGCGACCGAGGGAAAACCCGCGCACACGTTACTTGGTGGGCCACGTGTGAACCATAATGCTTGTTTTTGTGTTTGGTCAACATTCTAGTTATGAGCTAGAAATGGTTGGCGATTTGGGGCCGTCTTGGTTATCGGCGATTTGGTTTTTATTCAAATTTAATTTTAATGTTCAGATTATTTTAATTTTATATTCATATTTTTACTTTATATTTATTAAAAATAATTTTTTTATAATTTTTTAATAAATATATTTATCATACTAATTTAATTTAAGTGAGCCAATTTGATATTAATTTTTTGTAATTTTTATAAATTGACTATTTGAATATATTTTAAATAGTTTTAATTTAATAATGATTTTTTTATAATTGTTATCCTGATAAATGAAATATTAAAAATAATGATAATATTTTAATGGGCACTTTTTTAAAAATATTTTTTATAGATTGTAAATGAAAATTTATTTTAATTATCAGATAATTAATTTATAAAATTATCAAAATTTTTAATATTAATAAAATTTTTAATTATTCAGATAATTAATTTATAAAAATTATCAAAATTTTTAATATTAAAATAGAATATGTAAATTAAATATGTTTAAATCGATGGAGAATATATTTGTATTTTTTTTATTTTAATAAATATAAAATTAAAATAAATATAAAATAGACGATTCACCCAAGTTGAACGCACTTTGAATGATACGCTGCTTGGCTGCTCCTATCTACTACTCCTTTTGTTGTTCGAGCTCAATTTCCGATGGATTCATGTTCGGTTGCCCACGTTCATCAGCTTCTTTTGTTTCTCTCCCTCGCTTCATTTTGCGCTGTGTTAAGCTCCGGCTACCTTATTCATGATTCCTATGCGGAAGAGATACTGAGTGCAGCCCATCAAGACAAAGATTGGTTAATATCAGTGAGACGGCGAATTCATGAGTACCCTGAACTCGCTTTCCAAGAGCACAACACCAGTGCTCTGATCCGCACGGAACTTGACAAACTTGGTATCCCTTATACATACCCACTTGCCAGAACCGGCATTGTCGCGCAAATTGGTTCTGGCTCTCGCCCTATCGTCGCTCTTCGTGCTGACATGGATGCCCTTCCTTTGCAGGTAACTTAGCTTTCGTTTTCTGGGTCGATTCTTTTAAGAATAGCTATGAGGTATATCTTTGAATTTGGCGGTGTGTGATTAGGAGCTGGTTGAATGGAGCCACAAGAGCAAAATTGAGGGCAGAATGCACGCGTGCGGGCACGATGCTCACACGACCATGCTACTTGGTGCCGCGAAATTGCTTAATCAACGGAAACATAGACTTCAGGTGATTATCGAACCCTCAATTGGCCGATGACTTGGTTTACTTTTCAACCTCAGCACTTTTGTTTATGCTGTTTTCCAGCGATGTATGACACTCAACGGGAAAAGTTTAATCACACTTGTTTTGGGGCTGAATGCCAAAATTTGATTTACAATTGAAATTAGAATTTGATTTCATCCAGCAGCCTTAGGAATTTTAGCGGTCCAATATATTAGGTCCATTGGTTCATAAAACCCGAAAGTCAACTCCAGAAGTGCATATGCATGAACATGGAGGTTTTGTTTTGTCTTTTTTTTTTTTTTTGGGGTGGGGTTTGCCTTGATGAAATCTGGTTCCAAATTGTTACTTGTTAACTCGTTCAAGTAGATTTAGGGATAGATATACATGCTTTAGACCGCAAGAAGTTAGTCTAATGATCGATTCAGTTTCGTGTAATGTGCCTGTGAACATGGTTTTACTCGTGGTATTGAAGCATAGGCCGACAGAGATATAAGTAAATGCTCACTTGCTCGGTTCTATTTGTGTGTTTGAGGTTCTGAATCACACGTGATTCCTCAAAATCTGTTATCTGATGAATTTCCTCCTTTTCTTTTGGCATTGAAGGGAACTGTACGACTTCTTTTCCAACCTGCTGAGGAGGGAACTGCTGGTGCCCTTCAGATGATCAAAGATGGAGCACTTAAAGATGCAGAAGCAATTTTCGCAGTGCATGTTGATTATAAAACTCCTACAGGAGCCATAGCATCTATATCTGGACCTTTCTCAGCTGCTGGGTGTATCTTTGTGGCAAAAATGATAGGAAAAGGTGGGCATGCTGCAGAACCCAACAGAAATGTGGATCCAGTGCTGGCTACATCGTTTGCAATATTGGCACTGCAACAACTTGTCTCAAGAGAATCCGATCCACTATATAGTATAGTATGTCTCCTATTCTCAATCCATCTATTTGCTGGAAATTAGATGTAACGCTGGCAACATTTATTTGCCACAGGTACTATCAATTACTTATGTCAAAGCCAGTGTTGCGTTAAATGTGATTCCATCATATGTTGAATTTGGTGGCACTCTAAGGAGTCAGACGACTGAAGGCATGTATCATTTCAGACAGCGAATAAAGGAGGTACACTCTAAACTTTGTAGACAAAAATATTAGCTTCAATGAGAAACTTTAGTGACTCAGCTATACTTAATGATCCAGACTCTGGGTAATTCTTGTTGATTTATTGTTTTTATCATATCTCTGATTTTTTAAAGATATTTTGTTCTTGTTTTATTATAGGTCCTTGCCCTTTTTTTTTTCTCAATGTTCTAGCCTTCTAGGTCCCCACACTTTTGTTTTCCAGTAACATCGAACTAGAACGCCAAAAAAAATATAAGGACCTATAGCAAAATGCGAGCAAAGTCCAGGGATTTAAAGTTATGTTTTTTCTTTTTTAAAAGTCAATTTTGGTTTAGCTGTTTAATCACTTTCTTTTATCCTTGTGAAGTTGCAATTTTTTTCATTATATGCAAGGAAGGAATATTTCATTCATTCATTGTTCTTGGGGCAAATATTTTAAAAAAAAAAAAAACTGAATCACAGTTTGAGGTCACACCATAGAGGAGATAGGCATTGTGAATGGAACATCTTTTTGGGCCATGAATGAATCTGGTTTGCATGTTCAATTGTGACAAAAAATTTTCACTAAATACTACATTTTCCTGTTTTGATTTTCATGGTTGATTTGGGCTGGGAGTACTTCCCTCTGTTACCTGTATTTTGTTGTTAAAAGAAGTAATAGTGGGGTGAATGATTTTGTTTCGTAAAATTAATTTAGCATATGCAACGAGGGATTACTTGCAGGTTATTGAAGCACAGGCAGCTGCGCACAGATGCAGTGCACATGTAGATATGAAAGAAGAAACCTTCGCCCCATATCCTGCTGTTGTGAACGACAATAAGTTACACCTGCATGTGAAGAGGGTTGGTCAGCTTCTGCTTGGTCCTGAAAACGTAAGGGAGGCCAAGAGGGTGATGGCAGGTGAAGACTTTGCGTTTTATCAACAAGTGATTCCAGGAGCAATGTTTGGCATTGGGATTGGCAATGAGGAAGTGGGATCAGTTCACTCTCCACACTCTCCTTTCTTCTTTCTTGATGAGGGAGTCCTTCCAATAGGGGCTGCACTTCACACTGCCATTGCTGAGCTATACTTAGAGGATAACCAACATTCTTTTGTGCAGTAAGATTTTTCTTATTTTTGGTGCTTCATATATTGATACACCTCGATCACTTAAACACCCACGTTCATGAATGCTCATTGACTTCTTGTCTTGACTGTAATGGGCGGCATAATTAAGAATGTGTAAATATATGCTCATAAAACTCTCACTTTTTTTTTTCTTCTGTTGAGCTTTTCTTTTGAGTGGTTTAAGAGAGGCTTGACTTTTTCCTAAATACCAAATTCCCGACCAACTTAGTTCAATGAATGGGCCTGGTGTGAATTACTTACCTACTTTCTTTCTGTTGAAAATACCATGAACTGCTACTTGCTTGGGAGCACAACAGAAGTTGATGCCTTAATGGGGGCTATAGATTTTTATGTGTGTGTGTGTGTATAGAAGAGAATTTATAGAAGGAAAATGGAAAAAGGAAAATTACACCTAGGTTTTATAAAAGAGAATTTATTATCAAGAAATTTTATGAAATTTACAAAATACTCTTAACTTTTGAATTCTGCACATTTACAACTTGGTAAGGGCATTTATAATTGGGCAACGGGTATTTATAACTTTCCATTACAAGTTGTCATTTTCTTTTGCAAGTTGTAAATACGTAGAATTTAAGATTTGGGAGTATTTTATAGATTTCATAAAATCTTTTGATAATGAATTCTGTTTTGTGGGACGTAGATGTAATTTTCCTAATGGAAAATAGTAAGAGAGAGGAAAAAATTACTTTAGTCTCTTTTTTCTCTTTTCCATTTCTCTTCCTGTACGGAGGTGGATCTTGATGCACATTCATATAGCTCCTAATAGAGGATGATAATTAATATCTGAAAGCTTTATATTTATTGTGGAGTTTTACGCTAGAATCTACTTGACTTAGGAGGAATAAAACCTACCAGCTACGTTGATATGTCTTTAATCAGAATAATAAAGTTTGCAATTAATGTCTTAGCAATGAATGCAAAGAACTTACAATATGCAGCAATATATATATATATATATAAATATATCAGAGGGCAAAGGGACAAAGGAAGAAAGAAACCCAGAGTCCATGTGCCCTTCTCCCCAGATGTTCACTTCATTCACATATCATTGATTCAGTAACTACATAATACCACTTAGGAATGTCTCATTTTGACCCAAGTGCCACCTTCATTTTCTGATTGATCAAGGCCAGACATGCTTCAGAAATAGACCATACGGAACTGAGACAACTGGAATGCTCCCTTTGACGATCACATACTGTCTAAATTCTCCATTTACTCTCTCCTCTTCCTTTGTTCCTAAATTCTATTTCCTTCTGTTTTCAGTGTCTCTACAATTGGAACCTTTTTTGTTCTTTTTCAAGGGCTGGTATTTTGAAAGCTACCTTATTTGTTGGAGTGTTGTCAAAGCATCCAATGAACCAAGTTAATCCTCTCAAATGACTGTTTTGTGTACAATAATTGGCAGGACTCACATCCCATGCAGTAATGCAAAAGGATCTTAACTCCCCATAAAGTTTACTTCTCCTTAACTCAGTTCTTAATTTAACAGATGCTATATTGATTGTTGAGAATCATCCCATAATAAATTTCATCTTGGTTGTATACTATTAACACTCATTAATGGTGAACTACAGCAGATATGCTTTTTAACATATCAGTAGATCGTTTGCCCCATCATTCCTTTTCTTGTTATTGGGATTGTAGTAGACAGAGGTGGCCAATTCCTAATATTGATCTGATGAAACTTTGATCTTTCAATAATGAATTCATGGTCCCCGGAATTCTTTGAAACTACATCGATCAACATATAAATAAAATATTGCTCAATGATTTAGAATTTTCCTCTATGCTTTAAGTGGTTGAGTCCGACATACAATCATATGATATGAAAGATCTTCGCCTCAAAAGCAATTCAAAGTTTCCTGCAAAATAATATAGACGGAATAAAAAAATCATAGTCAGAAGCAGCGAACCAGCAGTTCTGCATGAATAGTGGGGCCAATGAATCTCTCTAATATTCCATGCGCTACGTTCTTTTCAATTATGCAGGGCGGAAGTTTTACTTATCTTGATTTGAGACGCACATGTAGGACACATCCTACGGTTATGTAACAAGAATATTGCACAAATTACTGAACAAAATATAATGGGTAATTGGGCAAAAATATCCACGTAGAAACATCTAATAGGCTAAAATGAAAAAAAATATAAAAATATTCGCAACATTCTCTAAGTTGACGTAAGAGTTATCACTCCGTCAAATGTTTTAAACGTCTGTTATTTTTTGGTGGTGAATGTTAATCGTATTTGTCACATGACAATCTTCACTATTTTGACTTGCCACCTGTCTATGCGGAGTTGGAGTGTTAAGTCTGGACTCATCCCGATTAATTTGATATCATCTCGATCATATCAGGACAGGCGTTGTCCCGGTCCAAAAAAAATCGGGACGAGACAGGAAAGGAGTTTGAGACGAGACGGAACACAGAATTACTATCGGGACGTCCCGTCCCGTCCCGAATATTATATATATTATTTTTATTTTAAATATATTAATTATGTTAATATAATTTATACTTATATCAATTATAGTTTTAATACTTGCAATTCTTATTTAAAATTAAAGTTTTTTTATATTGATAACTTTAATGGCATAGAGTAAACATGATGATATCTTTCTTTATAATATATTAATTATTCTTATATCTATCTATTTAATAACTTTTATTTATAACATACTTCTTGCTTTATTTTTAAAAAAGTAATTAACTTAGTACATCTTCACTAAAGTAGAAGAACAATGATTTGATGTTGCGTTTGACTTACCTGTTGTTACTAATCTTATAGCATAAAGATCACTTGTATTTATTATTGTAATTATGATTAATATAATTCAATAATTAATTTTAAATTATTGTTATTTATATACTTGTGTTGTTTTGATTTTAAACTTAATAAATTATATAATTTAAAATTTTAATGAACATTATTATCTAGATTTTTTTCAATATTATTCCATTTATTGAGATGGTAAGACGTCCCGATTTTGTCCCAATCCTATCTTGACTCTTAACGGTATGAGACGAAATATGAGATCAAAATTCAATCTCAATTTTTTTTTTTTAGAATGGGACACGGGACGGGAATGTCTCGATCCCGTTCCATCCCGTCTCGTAAACACTCCTAATGCGGAGTACCTGTCTCCCAGCATCTTCTTCATCTTTCTCTTCCTCTCACTATCTGCAATAAACAAACATACAATCGACAACCCATGGTGTAAATCCAAATAAACCGGGTTGGATTGAAAACCCAGAAAGGAACACAAAGGCTTGAAAAGCTACGATGAATTAGGAAAAGATAATACATAATATCAGGGGAAAAAGACTTGGATAAAACGAGATGGGATTTTTTAGGCGAGTTCTGAAAATCCAACTTTTCATAATCCAGCTCTCTTTGATCCTTAGAAACCTTCTTCATTTGATTCAAACTCCCCTCATCCCGGTCTTCATTCATAGGCGAGTTCTGAAAATCACAGCCGTGGTATCCTCCACAACACCGTTGTAACACAGCTCAAGAAAGGAGTTCGGGTGGGGTCGTGGGACCTGAACGATCAAAACATACCACACTATCAACCTTACGAAACGCGAAAATGGAAGGAGTGGGAGAGTACATGACGTGCAGGGAAGGAGACAGGAGTCTATTTCCCAATGACTACTGGACGTCGTGGTGTCTGGGGTGTTCGTACACAGAGTCGGCAAGGAGTACGGTCACTGGAGTGTGAAGGCGGCGGAGGAGGTGGTGAGGGTGATGAAGCCGAGAGGAGTGGGAGTGGTGTGGAACCTACTTCACGGCGACAAGAGTGGAGGATTTGGACGCTGAGGAAGGCGAAGAAGAATTGATTGTGGGAAGAAGATTCCGACATGGCAATGGTCAAAATTTTTCCAGCTTACATGGCATGGTCAGAGTGGTCAATCTTCACAAACTTCGAAGCACATTCAGCCTTAACACTTAAAATTAATGCACGTTTGAAGCATTTGATAGTGTGATCATTTTTGCACCAATTTAATATTTAAGTAATAATACAGATTTTTTTTTCCCCACTTTATTATTGGATACTTTTAACTGATCACTTAATGGTTATTTTTATTCTTTTATTTAAGTATAATGACTACAAATCAACTATGTCCATTATCTGTCAATTACATCTCACTTTTTTTAAAAAAAAATATTTAATCATTTTCTTTTTCTTTTTTCAACGGAAAATAACACACCAGTGGACAAGTGGAAATTTCCTGTTATAGTAGTTGACGAACATGACTTAGACCCCGTAAAATTAATTGCACCGTTCAGCAAAATGGAAGGAAGCCAACTGTCCCAATTATCATTCCATAACGGAGGAAGAATATTATAATTACTATTAACTAAATGTCGAGATGCATTATGTTATACTTTGCAAATAGTTATTGACAAAATACCATTAATAGATATCTAATCAAAATCTTGTGAATGGACAGAAAAGAAAACTATTTTTTTAATAAGAAGAAGAAGCGGGCAGGGGTAGTTGAATTAATATGATTGCTTTACAAGTGAAGCTGAACAAATATGGAGATTCTCATTAACCGCCCTAGCTAACAAAGGAATGGGCCCCAGTCACACCTTGATTAGAATCCCTTCATCAGCCTTCCTTTGAATGTTTAGGCAATTCCACCCAAATGACCAAAATCTCCTCTTACACTTTCAATATTACATATAGAGTAAAAGACAAGCCTATTGGGGGTCAACCTATTTTCTTCTAGGGTGGACTTTGCATCAGGTGGAAGATGTGTTTGGATGGGGAAATTTATTAATCTGTGGAAATTTCGTGGTTGAGATCTATCGTCAACCACATATTAGATAGCCAAATAGGGTATGAAGGGGCACTGTGATGAGTCATGTCCACGTGTTACTGCATAAACATCGTAAGCTCGAGCTCTGCTTTCTGCATTGTTCCAAAAATGTGCAGCTATCAAGTCAAAAAAGTTTTTCTCATGAGCTATAAATCGGGTTCAAGTTTCCATCATAAGGGCCTGTGTTGGTTTGATATTATGATTGAAGGAGAAACTTAACAACCCATAGAATGTCAAAGTTTAGTAACTTGGTTCGGTGATATGATGGCGTTCAGTGTTTTATTTGAGTTTTGTCATCGTCACATTTTCGTTTTTAGGATTTAGTCGCTGTATCCAATTAATAGGGAATTGATTGGTATCGACGCATTCTAAGTTTTCTTTTGGGCAAGTTATAATATAGTTAAGAAGTACTATGCTAGATATACAAATACAACACGACAAAATACGAGAAGAGCTTCAAGTTTGCTGCATTTATTTTGAAGTGTTCTTCTTTGTTGACAGACAGAAATGGCAGGGTGATTTTCATAAGGAAGGGAAAGACAGGTAGAGAGATAAGCTTTTATGATGGAAGGGCAATCAAGAGCCCACGTGGATATCAACTTTTGAGAGAATTAAGAGATTTCTCTGATCCTCACGTTTCATCCATCCCAATTGTAGGTCATGAAAATGCGAAAATGCTTACTTGGTTGATCTAGTTTTAAGAAATTACAATATATCAGCGGTCAAAATCGCGACATCTGGCTTATTTAATTGGCAACCTTCTCGTTCATGAACATATCTCATTTCTGCGGTATATCTTATTTATGCATAAAGTGAAAAATTTTATGTAACCAGTCAAATTACATTCTTGTACTTCCATGTTTATGATCTGATCCACGCTTGGTCTCATCTTCAAGCAATCCACAACTCCTTGAATGTTTTCACTAAGCATGTTTGACTCACTTAATTCGCTTAACATAGATAATCTTACGGACGGTCATTTTAGCTTAGGAGGTGCATTTTGATTTTCTTAATAACACAGCAATTAGTGATCCGGAGAAAAGGTTAGAATTACCTGGTCAGAATACATGGCCACGATGGAGGCTGCCACGTAGGCAGGTACACTTACACATACGATATGCCATGCATGCCTGACAAATTGACACTTCACCATCTTGCCACACAAATCTCTGAGTCGGTTGATGATGGAAGTGTTATCATTTTCAAAGGTTGGCTGCTTCTCTCTCTCACCCGCTATCTGGCCTTACCATGATCTCTCTTCTGTCTATAAATTTGCTAACCCTCGCTACCTTCATCCTTGAGAAATGAAAAGAATTCCCAAAAAGAAATAATAAAACAAGAGGTTCTTTGCAAAGCTGGTGGCACTGCATGTGCTCAGGAATCCCTCTGATTAGCTTTATATACTAATCAGTAATCGCCCACCGGCCACCTATTCTCCTCCAAACTCCTTCTTTATTATATCTCTGCCTCTCCATACAACGACTGTATCTCTAAATCTTCTCGTCTCGTCCCGAACAGAACACTTCAATGGGTGAGGAAGCTAAACAGGTGAGCCTTCTGTTGGCATTCTGTTTCAATGGCTAACTAGATATCCCCACCACATTAGCTTCAGCCTTGAGTACTTGTGTATTTTTTCACACACACACACACACATTTATATATTCTTTTTTTGGGGGACAGGAACAACCGAAGGCAGAGGAGAAGAAAGAAGAGAAAGCAGAGGAAAAGCCAGCGGAGGAGAAGAAAGAAGAGAAAGCGGAGGAGAAGAAGGAAGAGCCTAAACCGCCATCGCCATGCGTGCTGTCTGTGGACTTACATTGCGTGGGATGTGCCAAGAAAATTGAGAGATCTATTATGAAAATGCGAGGTTCAAAACCGTGTCTTCCTTCTCTTGTTTCCCTTTGGTTGCAGAAATGATGCGTGCATTTGCAGCCATTCTTATTCCTTTTAATAATCTTGCTCAACAGGAGTTGAGGGGGTGGTCATTGATATGGCTAAAAATGAAGTAACCATAAAGGGGATAGTGGAACCCCAAGCAATCTGTGATAAAATTACCAAGAGAACAAGGAGAAGAGCCAAAGTTATTTCTCCATTGCCCGCAGCAGAAGGAGTACCTGTACCACGAGTCGTTACTTCTCAGGTATCTGAATCTGATCAAGTTTAAAATTTTATTTTTCTTTTTCGTTCTTCGAATCAAAGTTCTTTTATATCTAGACATTTTAATCAAAAACTGGTAATTCGTCGCTGTTCAGGTTAGTGGACCAGTGACCGTGGAACTTAATGTAAACATGCACTGTGAGGCCTGTGCCGAGCAACTCAAGAAGAAAATTCTCAAAATGAGAGGTGCCATTTTATGTCTTCATTTCAATGTCTTGCCTGCGTCCTTGGTTTTAGCCTCTTATGGAAGAATATAAAATATTAAAAATGGAGACGATAATGGTGCCAAGGCATTGCTGTGGTCTGGCAACTGTCAGTTTTGTGACCGTGACTGATCAACTTGATGAGATCATTGAAAAAGCAGTTAAAAAAAAAAAGAAAAGAATCTCATAAAGGACGAATCATCACTATTCAATTTAGTCATGCCCATCCTTTTTAATCTGCACCCACCCAGATTGCCAGATCAGCACCTGACTGTGCACCCTCTGACGTGGCATGTAATTATTAAATTTAGTCGGTCATGATTTGATTTGGTCCTCCATGAAATGTCACCGCCAAAAGGAGAGAAAAAGGGGCGGCGGTGATTCTATTTGGCTTGAGCTAAATGAATCAGACAATTAAAGCAGTGCATATGAATCATTGAGCGTCTAATATTATCATTATTATATTTCTAATGAAAGTGAAAATATGTGTGCTGATGAATGAAGGAGTGCAAACAGCAGCGACAGAATCAAGCACGGGGAAGGTTACTGTGACAGGGACCATGGACGCGAACAAGCTGGTGGAATATGTGTATAGACGCACCAAAAAGCAAGCCAAAATAGTTCCACAACCAGAGCCTGAACCAGAGAAGAAGGAAGAACCTAAAGAAGCTGAGAAACCAGCAGAAGAGGCAAAGCCTGAGGAGAAAAAGGAAGAGAGCACAGAGAAGAAAGAAGAGGAGAAACCTGCAGAGGAGCCCAATAAGGAAGAAGAGGGAAACAAGGAAGGAGGTGAAGACAAGAGTGAGAATAAAGAAGAAAAAGGTGGTGAAGAAAGCAAGGAAGAGGCTAACAATGAAGGAGGAGATCACAGTGGGGTGGTTGTGATTGACGATGAAGGGATCAAGAGGATGATGTACTATTACCAGCAGCCACTCTGTGTGATTGAACGAATCCCACCTCCTCAGCTCTTCAGCGATGAAAACCCAAATGCATGCTGCATTTCATGAAGCCGTTACCAAAGAAGAAGGTTCAAAATCTGCATGTAACTAAGTTTAGAGCTGTGTTACTGATCGGGGACGGTCTCAAATGGAATTACATATTCAATAAGTTCATATAATATATCGTGTCACTCTTTTTTATGTATGTACGATATATTATTAAAGTAATGATGCTGAAAATCAATCTTGTATACGTTTATGAAATATTATTATTACTATGTATGGATATGATTAATGCGTGATTATGTAAATCAATTATATATTATTAGTATTAATCCTGTTGGATGCTTGCTGCGATGGCCAGCGGGAGGTATAAGAAAAAGGGAAATTTACCAACAGGGTACGTTTTATGAAATTCTAAGATGAAGTATCCCAGAGAGAGAGAGAGAGAGAGAGAGAGAGACGTGCAAAGCCAAAAAATATGATGGCTGAATCCAAGTTCATGGTCCCCAAGGCATGCATAGAGCATTTACTTAAATTCATTGACACGTATTTTTATTTGTTACTATTGATCATTTATTACAAGACTCCTGGGGATTGTTCGGTGCATGTTATGTGGATTATATTTTATGCTATCATGAATCATTCCAGAGTTTCAAATACCCGAATTTATATTTTTTATAATTATCGTTGTTGTATTTCAGCTCGCATAGAAATATATTATTTGCAATTTGGTATGAGAAAGGAAAAGAAGCAGAGGAGTATGAGGCAAAGTTAAGTTGCATGATATGGACAGCACGCGAGAAAGGAAGAGGATAACAAGTGAGTATAAGATTGGCAATCGTACCTCATCTGTTCTGATTCTGTATATTTGTTTTTCATTGCGTTCCACTTTTACACGAAAAGAAATATGAAGAGATTCCTTCACACAAATCAGAGGCGTGGCCTTCACATGCAGGATGGGGTCCCACGGGCCACTGGACACCTGAACCTGACTCCATTGTCACGATGAGACACTGAATCCCACCTCACGAATATTCATATTCACTGGGACCCATTCTCTTACATGGCAGTGGTCGGCCATGCCTCAGTTCGTCTCCCCTCTAACCCACCTCCACGTCTGTCTCATCAACTGTGCATCGGTGCCACGTACAGTCGAAGCAGGCAACAGGCCAAAATCACCAATCCCAGAAAATGATCAAATGGAGTCATCGGTCTTTATTCACGAGGATAAGAACATGTTAGGAGGGTGTAGATTTATCGCACAACTTTCTTGACTTCAAAAGCTAGCTCCTTTTCTTGACTGTTGATATATAGTTAAAGCGTTAGCTTCAGCCTTTTTTTATTTAAAAAAAAAATGCTGCTAGAATAGATGTTGGAAATGGTTATATATTTTACAACTGCGCTACGAACAGAGAATGCAAGACTAACCGAAATGCAATCACAGTTAGATCGAAAAGGCATATGACTATACACTAAATATACAAGTGATTTCACCAGACTGCAGTTATATATAAAGTTTCATGTATCTCGAGGAGACACCGTTTCACTGAAAACCAGAGTGCTGCACTCGGATAAAACAATTTTTTTTTTCTTTTACAAAAAGCTTGAACTCACAAGGACTTAAAAAAGAAATAAAAAGATAAAAATATTCATAACGTTATTTAAATTTTTGTAAAAATAACTAATCTATTAAATTCCTTAAATATTGACCGTTTAATTGACATTTAAATAGTCGTTGATCATTTTTGTTCACTGACATGGACTAAAACAAAGGCAAAAATACCTCCAAAAGCTTACAATGAGAAAGAAGACAATAATATTTATAACGTTACTTTAGTAGTGCAAAGTGATTAATCTGTTAAATACCTCAAATATTAACTATTTAACTAATATTTAAGCAGAAATTGATTATTTTTTCATTAATGTGGATTAAAAATATTCCTACATAGAATTCTACGAAGGTTGATCGGTCATCGTATGATAATAATTCTTCACTTAAAGCTCTAGTTTTGATGGTGAGAAAATGTCATTTCGACCGAACAATAAATTAAATCACTCGTTTTGTTTAAATTCTTATATCATTAAAGCTTTTTTTTGATGATCTGAATCAAGTTGTAGAGCAGTTCTAAAAAATTCACAGGTCAGAATCAAGTTTTAGGAAACCGGGTTAGGTCTGGAATCTGCATATTATAAACATGGGTGCAATTTAACGTGTGATACTTGTTTCAAAGTTGCTCGTGTTTATACGTTTGAAGCATAGGGTTCTTCATCTGTGTTTGTTCGTGGATTCCATCAGGAAGCAGAGGAAAGGACACATCCATGTGCATGGCGTTAGCATCGATGATTAGAGTGTAAAGTGTCCTTTCTGCATAATAAAACTTTTCTAGTACGCCATTATTGAAAGCAATAGATGATCGTGTTCTTGTACAGAGCTACGACTGTAATACAAGTCTCAATTTAATTAAATTGCTCAAGTTCCAAACACACTTTTATTCAGCTGTCTTCTTTGATAAGGAAAACAAGCCACATGGGAGCCAAACTCCAAAACTATCCCATTCCCAATGAAAAGTAGAATACACTGTACCTCCTTTTGGTTAACCAACAGAGACTTGCTGACACAGCTTCCACTCATCCATGTCACCACCCGTATCCCATTGTGGAAAAAAATGAATAGATGACTCACGCATTGAGATTCCTTAATCAAAGGCAGCTTCTTTAATTTTTGAAGTGTGATTATCCCCTTTAATCTACCTATAGTTGCTATGGACGGGAAAGCATGAAGCATACGATGAACAAAAATGTAAAGGAAATGAAAGGAAAAGAGACTGCTGATGAGTAAGGTTTCTTTTTGCAATAATCTAATGGATTATGAACTTGACATGATCCATGTCTAATGTCTTGACTCGTCAACAATGAGATTGGTATATAAGGTCCGCACTTCATCCATAAGAACCAACTGAAAACGTTGATTTGTTGGTATATCAATTGTATGGTAAGAGTTAGATAACCGTAAGAATGGCGAACTTGCAAATTGTGCCAGCTTACAGGAATGATGTGGAGGTACAGTACGTTGACATGATGGTTCCTCTCTATTCTTATGGATGCGAGAAGAAAGTAAAGAAGGCCTTATCCGGTCTCAAAGGTAAAAATTAAACAATCAATCTCATTGAATGTGACAATTATCTGAATCTAATTTCCATACAAATGCGACAAACTCATAGGTTTCTCTGGTTCTGGTCGTGTACCGTCAATTTATACATGCATGGTCGGGGTATCCATACGAATGTCTAGGCTTGGATGGGCTTTCCGAGCTCGCATCTTTCAAAACTCGTGCGAGCTTAGAGATTGTCACATATGAACAACTAATCATACTGGTTTGTTAAAACATTATAGTTCTAACTATTAAGCAGATTATTCAATCACAAAACTACAATAAAGCATCCATGAATCTTATGATGAATTCTGGCTTGCAAACTACAATTGTGTGTGTGTGTACGGAAAACTTACGAATCGGTCCGATTTCATGTGATGATTAGGTATATACTCGGTAAACGTGGATTACAGTCAACAGAAGGTGACTGTATGGGGGATTTGCAACAAATATGATGTGCTAGCAACTGTGAGAAGCAAGAGAAGAGAAGCTCGTTTTTGGAACCCAGAAGACAATGCCGTGTCAGAGGTCTCACTGTCACCATCATCCTCTCCACCTCCACCACCAACACTTCCTCACAGGGACTTCAGGTCATCTTTAGCTTTAAATAAAGTTAGGTCTCTGAGTTTGAAAGCCTGGAAGAAGGTCTTCACTAGATCATATTCTTTCTAGAGAAAAAAATGTTCAATGGGAGCGAAGGATCAGTTCCTTGTGTTAGAATGAGTGTAAATCTGGGAATAAGTGTGTTCCTTCTTCCCCTTGTATATAATTGATGTTTAAGCATTTGAGCTAGCTTGTCCTGGCTTTTTCCCCTTATAATTTACTGCAACTTTGGTGGTTCCTTCGTCGTGCGATGTTGGATGTTTCATTTACAAGGAAAGCAATGTGCTCTCATCAATTAAACTGTGCTGATCCTTATCATTCTCTTGTTCAGCTTTGAGTCTTTGGAAGAGACTTGACCCCTCAGCAACTAAATACTAACTACAATACCCCTGTTATTTTCTAAACGACTATGTATTACCTTCATTTTCAAACCACATTCTCTTATCTCTGTAGAAATTAAACTAGTTAAGATCTAAACAGCATTACCAGGATGAGAGTCAATTAACGCAAAATGAAGCTGGCAATTGAGTTCCGTGCATATGCAGGGAAACTCGAGGTCATCACATATTCACATGGCATTCTCTAGAAAGCAGACACCCAGAGCCTCGCCCGGTAAAGCCAGAGCATAAATCTAGCAACTCCTGTGTTCAAAACTTCCAAGCTACTCCTGCTCCGTAATCTTCAATATGGAGGATCATGCCAGATCAGCTCTGGAAAAAGTTATGATGAGACCCCACCAGAGCCTTACAAGATAGTGATTGAATTGATTCATATATATCTTACTACAAATTTACAATTCAACCCTAACTAAGCTCATCCAAATAAACAGGGCGTGACTACAAAGTTCGTCATATTTGCTGCAATTATACCGCATAAAAAACCAGCCGATAGGGAAAGTGTCAGGGGTCAACCAAATCCATTTTGCCTAACCTCTCGTGATCCATACACATTGCGCAATCCCGAAATTCAAAATCCACAGGCAGAAATCCACACAATACGACTACTATACCCAGATACGGAAAGTATCTTATATAAGACTCGGAGACACAGTCGGAAGGAGAAATTCTAAAATTTGAAGAGAAACGAAGCAGGAAAGATGATAATGGTGGTGAAAATGACGGAGATGCTAGGGGAACTAACGTCGGCGGTGGCAAGGGTGACGGACCGGCTTTTGGAGCGGCGGAGAACAAGTCTTAGCGGTCTCGGGAACCTTCGCACTGCTTTAACATCCACATCATCCGATTCTGCTTCCTTTATGGTGTATTTCTAGAATTCTAGTAATCATCGAAACTCAGAATAGATATTTAGGCAAGATTATCATTCAAGATTAAAGTAAATTATTGCAATATGAGTCTTGAATGAGAACGGCAAGCTCTGAACGTGGGAAATTGCATTCAATCTGTACGTCACGACAGACGCATCTCAGAAAATCTACATTGCATCTGCTTTTTACCACTCACTGATTTGCATTAAATACGGTGCCTCAATCTCCCAATATTTTTAAAATCAATCAGACATTAAATCGAAAAAATCAACTATTCATGGTTCGCATGTTCAACCAATGGTCTAACAGATAATATAATAATTAAATTAAAAAAAATATATATATATATAATAATTTAAATATAAGAAATATATATGAAATTATTATTTAACTTAAAAAAATTAAATATCTTAAATTTATCATGATTTAACAAGCCATATAATACAACATAATATAAATAATTAAAAAAATAGTTATTTTTTAGAAAAAATTGATAAAAAATAAAAAAAATTTGAACAGTCCAGTTTTTAAAAACCGGATAAAGTTTCCTGCTTAATTCCAGTTTCCGATCCGATTCTCAATTCAAAACGGTTCAAACCGGCTCAACTTTTAAAATAATTTTTTTTTAAATCAGACTGAAAATTATCGAACCATTCAGCCGGTTTAGTTTTTAAAACAGTGCAATCTCCATTGTCTCTTCAACGGACCAGGTTTCAGTGTTGATCAGTGTGATTTCGGTGCTGGTCACTGTGATAAGATTTATACCACCCAAATCAGGATAGTCTACTGTAGAGGAATCGCTGAAGTAGGCTTTTTGAAACCTGTCAAGACAATAGAATTTATTGAAATACGTTTTAGTGGGAAAAAATTATTTCCTCCGTATGGAAGTGTCTATAAATTTTTTTTACCAGCAGGTGATAGACGGATACTTGACCAGAGCTACAAAAAGTATTTACTCCTTTCTCTCATAAATATAGGAGTTAGAATTTACTTAGATTTGATAAAAAAAGAATTTACTTGGGTTAAAAAAATAGTTAAATTAATTATTTATAGAAAACATGTATTTTTTTAATATTCATTCTTTTCATTATTTATATTGGAAGTTACTGTTATTTATGTATATAATAAAGGTAGCTTGAAAAATAATAATAAATATAAGAGATAAAGAAAATTAAAATCTTATATTTTTTGTCAGAATTAAAATCTTATATTTAAGATGAAATAAATCATCAAACTAGCTCATATATTTAAGAGTTATTGAATATTCTAAATACTAAATTATTATACAAATAGCATTCTGAATCTTGAACTTTTAAAATGAATAAAAAAATTTATTAACTTCTAAATTCAAAACATCTGATATCTTGCTAGTCATTACTTTTATAGTTGTGAGATCAATTACATGTTGATATAACATACATCTTAATTTTAAAAATAACGGTTATTTTTTTCAACTTAACGACAAGTTTAAGGTGCTTGAAATTTAAAAAATGAAAAAATATTTACATATTTTAAAAATTCAAGATTCAAGATTAAGATTGTTAAACTCAAGAGTTTAAGTAAACTCGTGACAGAAATATGAACTTATATCGTAAACTCTGTAAACTTGTAAAAATTTATCTCCATTAACAAATAGCCATTAAAATATAATATAATTTAATTTAAATGTATTAAAAAATATAAATAATTGAAATTAAACCCATCTATAATAATAAATTATCATATACAAGATATAAGAAATTTAAAATAGGAAAACTTATTTTTAGTATTTTTATTTTTTTATTAATATTAGTTTTTCCATTTCAAGTTTTTTTTCTTTGAATTAGATCTTATAACTTTTATAAACTAAATTTTTTATAGTATATACATAACTCACTCAACTCAAAAAAAATAATGAGTTTAACAAGTTTAATTAAATTTGTATTTAATTCGAATTTATAAATTAGTTGACATGATTTTAAAAGTTAAAAATATAAAAATGCTAAACTTATGAATTTAGTCAAGTTTGTATCTAATTCTAAAATTCTAAATTTATAAATAAATTGATACAATTTTATAAACTAAAAATATAAAAATATTAAATTTATAGAGTCAACCCGAAAAGTTTAACAACTATATTTAAAATATTATTTATTCAATAGTTTATGAAATAAAACCCTCTTTAACCCTACATTTAAAATGGGGAGGAGTGGCAATCTATTAGCTAGCTGTTTGGGCTCTATGTCGGCTACGGCAAAACGGCAACGTAAACAAATTCCCTCAACCTCTAAGTTCCAATGTAATCTAAATAAATAGAAAAATTTATTTCGCGAACTCCATTTGACAAACAAAGAATTCATTTCTACCGAAAACGGTTTTTTATTAAAGTTCTTTGTTCAGGTACTCCAGTCTCCTGCCTTTTGAGACCTGGTACCTGAAGTTCCCTCTTTCTTTTGCTTGTTTTTTTTTTTTTTATCATGAAGATATAGGAAGTGCGTCCGAGTCCAAAAAATGTGCAAAGGCCGTGAAATTTTTGCAGCCTTTTAGGCCCAAAAAACAGAATGCGGGGCCTTCGTGTGTTTATAAGAATTTTGTTATATCATTTTCGTAATTGTCTCAAGTTTTTCTAATTTTGAGATTTTAAAATTCGCATGCCACTAAAAGAAATTTATTTTTTCACAAAATTCCTTTGTTACTAAAATTAATGGTGTAATAATAAAATATCTTATAAAACTAAAAGGCTAAAATAAAATTTTATATGAAATTAAACCACCAAAGATATACTCTTCTCTTGTTGATATTTTTAATATTTTGACATCCGCTTGTTTTAATTTGATTGAAAAAGATTATATCAAATACTTTCTCCATTCAAAAATGTAAGGTATTTTTAACTGAATCTTATCGTCTAATAAAGTAATTTTTTACTTTTAAACTAATCCTATCTTTCCATATTTATTCCTATTAAACATTTTATACTAAATATAAAGTCACTGTCAATAATGGCACTTAAAAAAAAAAGATAATGATTATATTTTGAAAGATAAAAAATACCTTATATTTTTTAACATCAAACTTTTTAAAAAATATTTTATATTTTTTAACGGAGGGAATATATAAAACTGAATATATGAGTTGCATGTAGTGTTATATAATTTTACTTATTTCCAATCAAAATAATATATGGTAATTTTTTTATATATTAATAACATATTTTTATTATTAATATTGCTAATACTCTAAAAAATTTACTTGTTCTCACTTGATTGGACAACAATATGCTATGCCTAAAAAATCAAGAATGTAAGTTTCCTCCGTTTAAAAAGGAAAAATTTACAGACTTTCAAGAACTAAATCTTCGATGACAAACTTTACTGAATTATTTAGTCAATAAAAACATGAATAGATAACAAACTTGATAGAAAATTTAGTTTAATTTAATACTATTGAACCTAACAGAAAAAAAAGATACGTGATGCCTAAAGTTCTAATCCAAGGGATCATAGGGCTCGCCAAAGTCAAGCATGCTTTATATTCAAAGAGTGTCCACAAAGATATTTATAGATTGCATACTAACAAAATTTTCATATCAACAATAGAATTTAATCTTAAAACTTTGTGAATTATAAATTAATTTCTTACCAAATAAACTGATATTTATTGGTTATATCCCAATATTCCTTCTAACTATGTAATTTTGATTTAAAATAGGTGCACTCCCAAGATTACAAAAAATTGATATTGTGATAAATTGAACTATTTAGAATGAATTAGACATTTACAACCTTTCAAATTAATTATCTTTATTTTTTTAGTCGAATTAATAGCCTGGTCTAAGAATTTATCTGTTGGATGCCGCGTGAGGATGATTGGGTTAAGTTGAATGTGGACGGGACTTATACTTGGATTGGGAATAGTGCAGCAGCAGGCAGTCTAATTCGAAGCCAACTGGGAAGTTTGTCGTGGGTTTCACGTACGAAAAGGAGGAAGGTGATTGTCTCTCGGCAGAGGCAAGGATTCATAAGTAATGCGGCGTGTTTACGTGACTTGAAGATGGCGTGGGATGATGGTGACAGGAAGGTCATTTATAGAGTCAGATTCCAGTGCTACCGATGCGTTGGGTCTTATCCAAGAAAAGAAAACTGAATGGCTTGGTAAGAAGGGCCCCTCTGCCCAATTGATATGCTGACCAGGATCCAATATTCGGGTTCTCCGTTAGGATTAAAAAAAAAAAAAAAAGAATTGCGTGGTTACCACAAGATGTAGAGTTGCAATAAATGCATTAGAACTTTACCCTTGCCTATATTTTTATAATATTATAATATAATGGATATAGCAAGTTAAATATTTTCTATAGGATTGCAGGATGATATATTTAGAAAGGAATAAAGTAGTAAATCTCGTTTAAATCATGTCATGTAATTTTTAGGAATATATGATTTGTTCATATTAAATATATTTTTTTTGCCGAAGATATTGAATATCCTATTAGACATTTTTCAGTAAATATTCGATCGCATGTTACTGCTTCAAAGATTTTTTTCCATCACTAATCTGGTTTTAAAGACTTATTAACCAACTAATCTGATATCATCTTTATTTTATTATTTTCGAATAAGACGGATAAACTTTAAATTATACGGTAAACTATAAATAAAATAAAAAAGCATTAAAATTATTTCTATTGCTTTTTATTTTTTATGACTTATGGTTTTTAATTTAATTTTTACATAAAAGATACGAAATTGATTTCAATAATAAAAATAAATATTTATTTTGAATATGTAATTTTGTACCTATTTCATAAAAATATAAATTATAATTAGTTTAAAATATACTCTCTTTGAATACATTGAATTACGAAATTTCTCGTAATATTATTGATATTCAAAAGTGTATTTTTATAAGAAGAATATTGAGAGTGATATTCGCAACCGGATATCAAGGAGATCAAAACTGTATATTTTTTTTTTGGCATCTTTTCCGTTAAGATCAAATCTAATATTTTGATATAGGAACTGATTCAACATCAGCTATTCATCTTCTTTTGAGGCTAAGCTCGAGATCACCGTCACGACACTGTTCTCCAAAAGTTCTGAATTCACGTAAATTTTCAAGTTGTTTTTGCCTTTTGCACTTTTCTCCACAATCATTCTCTGATGTCATTTTCATTTTAGATTTTTTTGGAATGGATGCCTTACATATTCCAGCTAGTGAGGTGATTTTGTTGAAGGCGTAAATTTTATTTCAATATTTCACTGCTCTTGGCTTGTCCAATCGATCATCTCAGGATCACGTCGGCTATGGATGATGGTATTTGGTCTTGTAAGGGCTGGCCATATTATTCACCATCTTCCTCGAAGATATCCGCTTTCGCGCCGCCATTTTCTGCCGACGGTGTTTCAGTCTCGTCTGCGGACTCAGCCGAATTTGAAGAGGCTAGCGACTCGAATTACTCCCCATATGGCAATGATTCCTTTTCGAAGCTGCTCAGAAAACTGGATTCAGCGCCTTTCAACAAGCCTTCTAGTAATGGATACTCTGGCTTTCAATTTATGGACCCTCCGAGCTCTCAATTGCCTCGTCTTAGCTCTACAGGTTTGGCTTCTGTAAGAATGCGCTTGCTTATCATAATTACTGCCGCGTTAATATTAAATTGTGTTGTGATCTTGAACCCCAACCATATCATCCTCCGACTGTTTCTTGTCCGACTAATGAGCAGTATTCTTGTCACGATTTCCTCCATTAGATGGGCCGTCTCTCAATCACTACATTACCAAGTCACGCGAGATAAAGCATCCGTGTCAGAGTCCTAGCTCGTGCAATCAGTTTTTTGATTTCAACAAAGGTAACCAAGCTGTGTTTACCTCTATCTTTATTGGCCTGTAGTTTAAGTTACCGGTGGTTCTATTTGCTTTTCCTTTCTTTCTTTCTTCCTTTTTGAAAATAACAAGGCCTCCGGTTGTTCTATTTTTAAATGCTTGTTTTGTTAGTGCTGCTGTTCTGTACTCCCTCCGTTTTTTATTTATAGATAATTTATAGTAATAAAAAAATAATTAATAAAGGCTTGATTAACACAATTAATAAAAGGCATTACAGTCAATTCTTTTATTTGTAGACAAAATTAATGTAGTTAAACAATCTTTTTTAAACTGTGTCATATAATTTTTTTCCTTTTACATATATAAACAGAGGAGTACCTTGGATACATAGTAATTACAGTCCGTGTGGCTGTGCCCTCTGTAAAAACAAATGGTTGTCCTTTTGCCAATCGTGGATTATAATCATTAATGACTGCTGCTGCTGCTTTCAATTATACTGCTATTTATTACTACGAGCATATATCATTATAAGTAAGCAAAAGTAATGTTCAAATATGCACTGCCACGAACTTTTAAAGTTACTTTAATTTAATCCTCTGTTATGAGCGTCTCTCTTTTAGTGATAAGATCTGTTATTTTCCTCTTTCTTTTATTCTCTCAAAGACAACCTCGTAACATGGCCTCAACCTGATAATTCAATTTGTTGCGCTCGTGTCTATGGGTTTTGATCCCCGAGAGAAAATACGAGGGAAAGTAAAGAATGGGGACTTCTAGATCTTAAGAAGTAAAGAAAAATAAATTAGCATTACATGATGGCTAGTGAGATATCAACTATCAATCTTTTAAGCTAGCAACAATTACGCCCATCTCAAAATATATTGAGCTGTCACTGTGTGGCTGAGCCATGGTTTTATGATTCTATAGATATATAAATTTGACGTTTGTGTCAATGATGTCTGCATGCAGGATCTGTTAAACGCTCGGATGATGGTGGTGCTCTTCGCTGTGGCAGTTTTTCTAAAAGAAAGGAGGCTTCTCCCATGCCCATTACTGAAGGCCCAGTTTTCTCTAATTCAGGCCGGTTCCTGCATTTAGATCTTGAACCTAAATCATCAAATAATGCAATGCTTTCCAATTGTAATATTCCAATGTTCAAAGCAAGATTCCGAATTCCGAATCCTCCAGCAGCCAATTTTTCTCGGGCTTTACATCCAGAGCTTATGGACAAAATTGATGAGTGTCTTGCTTCTGCTCTTGAGGGGCCTAAAGATTTCAACGTTGAAATAGCAAACAATGTGAACGTGTCTTGTGAAATTTCAAACAAAAATCAAGTGGAAAATGAAGTTGGCAGCCGGGAAAAAGGTTTGGGAGGTCATGTTACGAAGTTTTCATTATCAAACTTTGCGTCTCAAGAATTCAATTCAGATGTAGGGAATGATGGACCTTCTTATGCTGGGAATCAATTTATAGAAGAAAAGAAATTCATGTCTCAAAACCTGAATTCGTTATGTCGCTGCACGGATGTTGGTTTTGATATGAGTGAATGTTTGAAATGCAGTTCATCTCGGGAGGCAGAAAATGGCACGCCTTCACCTTCTTTTATAGTTGGTGAACCTGAGAAAACATCAGCTCCGGCTCCAAAAATAGACATCCAAATGCTGGTTAAAATGATGCATAACATGTCGGAGTTGCTTCTTGGTCATTGTTTGACTGGTGAATTTCAACTGAATGGACGAGATCGCAGTATACTTGACATTGTGATTAGTAATCTTCGGACTTGCGCTCTAAAGAATCCTGAACAAAGACGTCTTTTTCCTGAGTTGGACTCTGGTAATCCTGCTGGAGAATCATCTCAGCTTCAACAGGTATGATGTGATTTCTTAAATTTTTTTTTTTATGGAAACTGGATAGTGCTATATACTAAGAAAAACAAATACAAGCAAATATCTAGGAGAGTCTTTCATCATACACCATCTTCTATAAAAGATGGTTTGTGATCGAAGACACAAAAATCACTTAAGATGACCCATGCTTAGCTGACCTAGTAGCAAGGTAATTTGAGTCTCTATATATAGAATTTATCGAAACATTCCAGTCCCTATTTAACATATCAATAATTCTCAGGATGAGGTCTTCAAAACGGTGGTGGTGACTCTGGGCACGTGAGATGAGATTAATAGTCCCAACACAATTACTATAAAGATCGATATTTTTCAGTCCATAATACCAGCATAGCTCTAAACTCTTTAGAATTCCTAAAAGTTCAGCAATAACAGGAGGGACAGTATCAATTTTACAGCAGAATCTAGAAATCCACAAACCTTGAGCATTCCTGACTACCTCCCGGGGGCAGCTAGCTTGACCCCTTTCAATTTTTGACCCGTCAATTTCCAATCTCATATAATCATCAGCAGTTGGCGACCAACTTGAATTTCGGCTTCCAATAACATTATTTTGAACACATTTTAGAGTAAAACGCTCATCATTCACATCTTTCCAAATACATTTATTCGGATAACTTAAATTTAATAATAATTTTCAGATAACTTGTTTTGCATATGATGAGTTGCAGAAATCACTACCTATTAGTATGAAAGAACAGGAAATGTTAAGTGTTAACTACATACCATAGCATGTAATAGTTGAAAGAGGTGAATACATAACATGAGTGCTGCTTCAAATAATTACCTAGGCTTATTGACGTTTGCGATTTTAGTTTATATTGTTTAATAGTATGTAATATAAGGAGTAGATGCTTTGCTTATTATACTTATGCTGGTTATTTGAATTGTCTTGCATTACAATGTCTTGATGTCATCATGATGAGGATTTTCACAGAATGCACCTGTCGAAGAGCCCTGCATAAGCAAGGTAGGACCAGAGCCCGCTAATGCTGAGCAAGGAAAAGAACGTGGGTCGATTTCAGATTCCTCTCTCATCAGTGGTGATAGCACAGAAATGAAGAGAGCAGATAATAACATGACCAAGGTACATTTATATATTATTTTGTGTTTTGCAGTACTATTAACTAATCTTCTTCTTCTTTTTAATAAATAACATTAACAAATATTCTATATTTCATTATAATTATTTTCGAATTAAAAAAATTATTTTGGCATGCTCTTACAGGCTATGAAGACGATTCTTAGCGAGAATTTCCATGACGAAGATGAACCAGTATCGCGTTCTCTACTGTACAAAAATTTATGGCTTGAGGCTGAAGCTGAATTATGTTCCATCATTTATAGAGCTCGCTTTAATCGAATGATTGCAGTGGAGAAATATTCATCTAAGCATGGAGGTCGGCAATATCTTCTATCTCCTTGGTTCCATTTGTTAAATATTCTGATAAATTATCTTCAAACTTAATCAGTTCTTTAACTTTTGTAAAGCTAATATCCATCTGCTTTCTCTTCCTTGGATAATGCTTTAGTCAAGGGAGAGGAGTCAATAACAGAAGCTGATTATAAGTTAAGCCCAGATCAGAATTCTGCAAACGATGTAAACAGTTATGATTCTGCCGAGCTTATATCTGCCTTGGATGTTACCAATTCAACGGAACCAGCAGACTTAAAGTTGACTCCTGGTCCAAACGAGCCCATTGCATCACAACATGAAGTGGACGGTAGTCAAAACGTGGATAGCTTCATTCAGGATTCTACTGCTTTTGGCACAAACAAGGCTAACCGGCCTTTCATGAATACTGCCGATCAGGAGGACCTATCAAATTCTGTGGATTATCGTGCTCGTGAAGTGGCACCCATATTGGCATTTGATGGGACAGGGAGTCCAAAGACTCAAAACCATGATGGAGCCGGTTTTGCAGGGAATGGAACCGGTTTTGCATCGGAGAGTCCAAGTTTGAAGGACGGTGCAAATCCAGAGACACTTAACGGCCCCGACGCTGATGTCAATCAGTCAATTCTGGAGGAGTTTGATTTGGATTTGGAGGATAATCAAGAAATCCATCCCAGTTGCTATCACAGGTCTGCCAATGAGCTTGTTACAGAATATTCTCATGACTCGTCATCAGATTGGGAACTTGTTTCGAACGAGGAATGAATGACTAGATAAATACTCGTGGGTCTAGATATTTAACTATCGTCTAGTGGTCATACATATGACCGAATTTGCGCTTCTGGTGAATGTGTTTCTTTGGACATAAATATTATTTGGATTTCTTTCTCTCTCTCTTTCTTTTCTTTTCTTTTCTTTTTTTCTGGGTCAAGAACCCTCTTTGGAGCTTATGTGACTCTTTGACGTATGGTCCTGTACGTGGGTGGTAGTGGATAATATCAAGGGTATTACCATATGTGAGTGGTTAATTAATTTAAAATTAGGATGAAGATGTATTTTTATCTCTCAACTTTTTTTAGGAGCATTGTGTTCTCTATATTAATAATTGAGGTAATTTTTTTCTTGAATTATTTTTATAATGAGTAAAAAACTCTTCTTAATCAGCTGTTAACTTTGTCCTTTTTTTTTAATATGACATGTGTGTGGGGTTTACACATAATGACAAGTAGAATTCTAATTATGTCCTTTAAAGCTAATTTTTCATTAAACTTTTTTTTTAAGAGTGTTGAATATTCTAAAGTTTTGTTAAAATAAAACTCAATAAATATTGCTAAAATATTAAATATTTTTATATTTAATCATTTAAATAATATCATTTATAAATATTCATCAAAAATTTATAAATTATTTTTTAAAATATTAATAGCTTAAACTTTTTTTAGAAATTTATAGATGAGTTATAATTTTTTATATATTGATCATATTTTTAATCTTAATTAATTTTTTAAAATTTTAGGTCATTCTCTATAATTAATTTTTGTCAACTAACAATCTTCTTCTAAAATATTACATCACCTAAATTCAATACTCTCTATACGTTATAGTGTTAGAGGTAAAATGAAAAACATGATAGATTATAACTAACATGCTAATAAAAAATACTTATTTAGAAAATATGGCCTGTCACATTAATATGTTACTAAAAAAGCTACTTAACATGAAAATAACGAAGATATGGGGGGGGATCTTTTTGTTAATTTGAAAGTTAATTCTCTTTATTTCTAATACAAAATTGTAAATATCAAAATATTCAAATATTAAATGATGTGATGCAATATTTTAGAAGAAGATCGTTAGTTAATAAAAAAAATAGAGAATGACTTAAAAAATTTAAAAAACCCAATCTATATTAAAAATATAATTGATATATAAAAAATGATAAGTCATTTATAAAATTATGAAAAAGCTAGTTTGAGTTGTTAGTATTTAAAAAATAATTTAAAATTTTTAGATGAATATTTATAAATAATATTATTTAAATTATTAAATTTTATTTTAATAAAATTTCAAGGTGCCCAACACTCTTAAAAAGAATTTAATGACAAATTAACATACAAAAACATTGTTAAATTTTCACCTCTCACTGTGCATGGGCCTCACACAAGTGCCACGTCAATAGAAAATAGTAAATTTAATAGTTGACTAACATAATGGGTTTGCTCATTGAAAAAATAATTTAGAGAAAAAATTATCTCATTTATTAATACAAGGTGTCTAGTACTCTTAAAAAAAAAGTTTAGATAAAAATACATTTTAACCTTTAAAATCAATAACATGCCAAGGGTCTTGCCTAATAGGGCTGTGTAGAAGTATTTCAATCTAGTTTGATTAGGTCCAACCCAAAACAAATCCCATCATATTAGTTTTGGATAAAAACTAGTTTTTCTAGACAAGAAAAATCAAACTCTTTTTTCAGGTTGAACTTAATAAGAAACTAAGCATCTAGTCTGGTCTTAGAAATTTATTTAATGTAATTATAATTAATTGATTAATTATTATTATAATAAGTTAATTTATAATAATAATTAGTAATTTCTTGTATTTTATACTTATAAAATCATGAACATTAAGCAAAATTTCAACCTTGACCAACTTCAATCTTATCCTTTTATTGATAAAATTTGTTACTAACTTGGTGTAATAGACTTTAAACATATTGAATGTTGTTTAATAATGTTGTTGAAAATTGTTTAATTTGAATCATTTGTATTGTAACCGAAATACTCTTTTATTGTTGTTGGAAATTGTTATAGAGTTATAATTGTTGTTGTTGTAATAAATTTTTTATAATTATAAGTAATTTTATTATATTAATTGAGTTTACTATGCTAAAATAAATTACTATTTTTCACAGATAAAAAAAGGAAAAAAAGAAAAAAAAATAAAGTGAAATGCTAGACAAAACCAAGACCAATCTCCTAATTCTACTAAAGCAATTCAGTCATATTCGACTTCAAGATATATTTAGATCAAAACAAACTACAAGTTGTTTAATTCAATTTTTTTTATGAAAAGAATCAAAACTTGAATTAGGTCAAACTCTTGTGAGGTTAGCCCTACTGCCTAAGAAAATGCAAGAAGGTTTGAAGCAACTATAACTTCTTTGTATATAATTGCTGCAGCTATCCCGATCTTTAAACGGTCATTGAGATAGGATTACATTTTAAAATGTATAATTTAGTTTTATTTTAATTTTTTAAACTACATCACAAAAGGTATAATGATTAATGATCTATCCATACCACTTAGAATTGATTCCAAGGGTTTTGAAAATTCAAGAGGAACGAAAGGATTGAAAAATTTTAATAAATTCAATTTTAAGAATTTTAATTAATTTTTCTTGTCATTTTCTTATATATGTTATTTTGATTAGAATTTTATAACCACACCCATCCGTTCCCTGAAACCGAAGAGAGTGCAAAGTTTTCCAGCACATTTTTTGAGAGCGCAACAAAATTATACAATAAATTGTAAAACCAACCATATCGAAGGTTACCATGGGTGGCGCCCAGGTAAATTGGTAGCAAAATTGTCCGAAGAAACGAATACAGCGTAAGCCCCTCGTTTAAGCAGTGAGTTCCATGATAGCCCCAACATTATCACCGTTGTGAGTCTTGAGAGCCTTGACGGCCTTGCTTCTCGACACTCCAGCCTGTGTCATCACCAAGTCAATGTCACGAGGCTCCACTCCTGTTTCATCGACCTCTTCCTCTTCCTCATCAGGCGGTGCTCCTTCAGCAACTCCTATAGTGGCGTCTGGTTTTGCCACCACTGATCCCATATCCGGCATCCTGAACTGCTGAGCAGCTTGTGCCTGCAACTGTGAACCCAAATCCTCTATCTTGGCTTCCCCAGATATAACATAGGTCTCTGAGTTTGGACTCTTGAACACATCGGGCTTTGAGATGAAAAAAGAATCTGACGCACCAAATAAATTAATTGCTCACATTTTTTGTTCTCTTAATTGTGACCCTGCTAACACCACTAACAGGTTTCAGTCCCAGCTTCAACATGGCTTTCCAACTCTTCATCTCACTTCTGCTTTGCTTTGAACCCTCAGTAGCACCTGCATCTCGAAGTCCAGCAAGACATTCAACAAGAGCAAAGACAAGTATTAAAAAATTCGTGTGCATCAGATCCTAACTATAATAAATAGTTGCTGGAGAACAAATTCCCATGTAGACCTGTAGGCTTAAAAAAAAGTATATGCAATCGACAAATTCACAACACAACAACAAAACACAATGATGCAGCGCTTTCATCCATCAAAGCTATCTTTTATCCGCAGTGCCAATACAGAGCATATCACTTTCATCAACGCCGTTACTAATTTAGAATGGCATAAAAATTATGAGGGCAGGAAAGTAGCGGATGAATATCATCAGCTCATAGCCTTAAACTATAAATTTGTATCAAAATCATCTACCCTTTATCTTGAATCCTACAAGAATCAGAAAACCAATGGAATTTTAAGTGTGTGCACAATCATTATCAATAAAGCAAATAGAGGCATGCCAAGACCGAAATGAAAACACTGCCCGTGCTCAAAAGTATGGCTGTATAGGAAAAACTTTTAATACCAACAGCACAAGAAACCGAAGTTGATGAGAAACTAAAAAATGAACCCTGGGGCTGAGTGAAGAACTGATGACAGAAACGTTTCGTCATAAAAAGTTACCTAAAATTAACTATTAGATATATTGAGGAGCACGTTTATCAGCAGATGTGCACGAAGTTGCAATTCTCATCACAATCTAAACACAAAGAAGAAAAAGCTTGATTACAATTCCGATATGAGATCAAAGTTTCACAGAACACTCACAAACCAACTTCCAGTGTTATTTTTCTTTTTACTAAAAGTAAGTATTCATGAAACTTCAGCGACAAACAGGCATTAAGCACCGACAATATAAAAACCCAGAACACTTCTAAAGGGAGGGGGGACCAAAGAAAGAAAGAAGAGTAACAAATGAAGACCTTGAGCACCATCTTCCTTGTCATCCTCGTCTTCGTCTCTGTTGTCGTCCTTCACATCCTCGAAGACAGGAGCATTGTCCTCCTGGAGAAATAGATGACGCCCGAAAATGAGAGACTACAACAAGAAATGAACCTAAAAAATGGATAATGAAAAACAGAGAGGAAGCCGAAAAGGACCTTCGGTTCATGGTTCTTCTTCTGGGTCTCCTCGGCCGATGGCAGCTATTCATCGGCAGCGGCCTCAACAACGGGAACTGGTGACATAACGTCTTTCGAAACGGCGGTCGATAGGGACAGCACGCTCTCACTTCTCTCAGAGATTTTGGGTTTTGTCTTTACCCGTGTCTTGACGGTTTTTTTTCGCTTCTCGAGGCACACTTGGGTCTATCCTAAATCCAATCGATCATAACTGTTAACTATTTGGGCTTCAAATAGCCCAACCTTCACTGTTACTCCAAACTTATGCTTGCAACCCAAGAAAAAAAACTCACAGAGATGGATTTGTTTCCCGTTCCTGAAGGGGCTGATTTGGCATGGCCCAACAACCTTGGTTACTTTTTTTTTTTTAGTTTCCAACCACCCACTATAAAACGTGGATGAGAGAGAGAGAGAGAGAGAGAGAGAGAGAGAGAGAGATGTTGCCAACGGGGATTGATTTAGTAGAATAAGCTAATCTCTTATAGCTGATAAACCAATATTTGAATTTTTATTGAAAAAAATGTTCATATTTAATACTCAATAATACTTCGAACAGGATTGCCTCTAATAAAAAGATAATATAAATAACAAAAATAAAAAATAAAAACATGTTATAAGTTAGCCAACTTGGATTGAGCCAAGAAAGACCATGC